TCTGAATGATGTAGACCACATCCCTCACCGGATACTGATTGGCCTATAAACCGGAAGGCGTTGACGAGAGTACTTTAGTAGCCTAATATCATTGTAATAAAGTTGAATGTTTTACGACGCTATTTCAGAGACATGTAGTCGATAGTTGAAACTATAATGCATTTCTACCGGAACTCATTAGGATGCATGAAATGGAGGAAAATATAAGGCACTCTGTGAAGATAATCATAGACAGGGGTAAGTACTGTGAGGAAGATACAGACTGAGCAGCAGGAGAAGACAAACGATAATCTCGTTTGCCATGTCACTGGCAGGGGAAAAAAAAGGAATGTTTAAGCATGTGAAAAACTGGCAGCAAGCTGCTAGGAGCGGCTCAGGGTCGGATGTAAACTTGACTTGCTCCTGAGTATAGAGAGCTCTGAGACTCTCACAGTTTTAAAATACACCAGCCAATCTCATATATATATATATATATATACTGTTAAAAAAAGAAACGCGTAGTTATCCGATGACTCGTTTTTTTTAGTTTGTAAATTAAATATATACTCAGATCTTGTCTACTGTGACCAGTGGAAATGTGGGCGTGAATTGCGATAGTTTTTGTAATCGTTATAACACAGTGGATAATTGTGTTTAAAACCATTTCTGTGAGCATAGCTCCCGATGCTGGCACGAGGAAGCAACACAAGTTTGCGGTGAACTCTATTCACTGCCTACGCAATTGAACCCCTATGAAAGGAAATCTTTTTTTTATTGCGTATCCTTTACATGACGTTCCAGAACCAACCCCAACAGCACTGGCTGTGGTATGTTTTTTCTAGGCAAATTTACGTCCAGTAGTTTGCCATTGCTTTCTTGACGGTGGGCTTTCTTGACACCACTGTCGAAACCAACGCAAGGCGCATGGCCCGCAGCTGGGATCGAACCAGGCATCCAGGCATTACAAAACGTTCGCATCGACTTAGCGACAGAGCCGACATGAAAAGGATAATGCTACATCAAAATGATCAGTTCATTTTCAAGCAGTCACGAATGACGCCTCTATCGATACATTTAAGGAATATTGCTATTGGCCGATTGCAGTCAGGAAAATGTCAAAGTCAGGTTGCCAGGCACCTATACGTGGTACTGGTAAAGTCAGGTTGCCAGGCACCTATACGTGGTACTGGTAAAGTCAGGTTGCCAGGCACCTATGCGTGGTACTGGTAAAGTCAGGTTGCCAGGCACCTATCCGTGGTACTGGTAAAGTCAGGTTGCCAGGCACCTATACGTGGTACTGGTAAAGTCAGGTTGCCAGGCACCTATGCCGCACACTACGGTACTGGTAAAGTTAGGTTGCCAGGCACCTATACGTGGTACTGGTAAAGTCAGGTTGCCAGGCACCTATACGTGGTACTGGTAAAGTCAGGTTGCCAGGCACCTATAGGTACCTAAAAGTCAGGTTGCCAGGCACCGTGGTACTGGTAAAGTCAGGTTGCCAGGCACCTATACGTGGTACTGGTAAAGTCAGGTTGCCAGGCACCTATACGTGGTACTGGTAAAGTCAGGTTGCCAGGCACCTATACGTGGTACTGATAAAGTCAGGTTGCCAGGCACCTATATGTGGTACTGGTAAAGTTAGGTTGCCAGGCACCTATACATGGTACTGGTAAAGTCAGGTTGCCAGGCACCTATACGTGGTACTGGTAAAGTCAGGTTGTCAGGCACCTATACGTGGTACTGATAAAGTCAGGTTGCCAGGCACCTATACGTGGTACTGGTAAAGTTAGGTTGCCAGGCACCTATACGTGGTACTGGTAAAGTCAGGTTGCCAGGCACCTATACGTGGTACTGGTAAAGTCAGGTTGCCAGGCACCTATACGTGGTACTGGTTCACAGCCACTGGTTTAGTAAAAGACCCACATCGCAGTGGACGACACAGAGTGACAACAGCAGCAGAGAATTGCTTTATTCGGTATCCCTACCTCAGAGACAGGTTTACAACAGCTTTCTCAACTGCACAGGCATTGCCTCCAAGACGTCCTGTGTCTGATCAAATTGTTCGGAACAGACTGCATGATTTTGGTCTTTGGGCTCGACGACCACACCAAGGACCTGTCCTTACGCGTAGCCACAGCCAAAATCGATTTCTTTTGACCAACTAACATCGTCCGTGGGCAAGTGACAATCAGTGGAGACGTGTCTGGTTCAGTAATGAATCTTTCTTTTTGTTGCAGCGTCATAATAGACGACATAGGGTCTACCGAAGACGAAGTGAAGGTTTAACCCAAATTGTGTTGATGAAGCTTTGCTGCACGGTTATGAAGATGTGGTGTAATGGTATGAGGAATTATCAGTTACAACAGAAGGAGTCAATTAGGGCACATTTAAGGAAGCTTGAAAGCGCAACGAAACGTCAGTGAAATTCTACGACCACGTGTCCTTCCTTTTGGGATGCCAACATATATCTTCTTTAACAGGGCAACGCCAGACCCCATTCTGCACAGCTGACCATGCAGTTGCTGGCTGCCAATAACATTGAAACATTTCCCTGGCCATCCCTGTCTGCAAACACGAGTTCGATTGAGCACCTGTGGGATGAGCTACAAAGAAGTGTTTGTCGCCAAAACGTTGCTCCAGCCAATGGTCGTGATCTGTTCCAGGCACTCCAGAAAGAGTGGTCAGCCATCCCACTAGCCCACATCAGACATCTGATCGCATCCATGCCCAGGAGATGCCAGTCACTGATCCACGCAAGAGAAGGCCACACACCAAACTAACGGTAGTAGTAGTACTTTTACCACTCCAGGACATCAAGCAAGCGATAAACACCCGATGACACAAAGTGTCGCCATGATGATGAGGATCACCCGTGGAGAGGTCCCGAAAACCGCATTCAGCCATTAGGCCATATTTATGGCAGGGCTATATTGCAGCCCCTGGCAAGAGCCAGGACAATGCTTCAAAATAACGACAAATTACATCCCACAAGAGGGTGACAGTGATATATTATAGTACTATACTAATGGTAAAGGCCTACGCTAAAAAAGTATCGTGACCCAGATGCACAAAATTGATAGATGGAACTCTAAGGTAATCTTGTGTGAAATTTTGGTAATTTCACTTACTACATTACAAAGTTGCAGAATGTCAAAATGCTAAGTAGGTTTGTTCTTTTCAGTAACTTTAAACAGTAGTATATATATATATATATATATATATATATATATATATATATATATATATATATATATATATATATATATGTGTGTGTGTGTGTGTATATATATATATATATATATATACACACACACACACACACACACACATATATTATATATATATATATATATATATATATATATATATATATATATATATATATACATAAATGCATTTTAAACAAGCGGATAATGTTAAATACACTCTCGTTTATATTTTATTTAAAAAAAAAGTATATGTTTGCCAATTGACAGAATTTATATAATTCTCTACTAGAAGGCTCCAAGTCAAAACTTTTTGGTTTCTTTTTCAAAGAATCATTTTTGGACCTCTGCAGATTATAAGAGCCCAAGGTGTAGCTGAATAAGCTAAACCCAGCCTTTGAATTGCTACATTTTCTGGGAGTGGTACAATTATAAAGATGGCTGACTATACTATAATTAGAATATACTAACAAAGCAACTAATAAAATCACTAGATAAGCGTTTTGAAAGTGAAACAATTTAGGTATGTAGTTTAACGCTGCCCTTAAATTTCATGATTATTTTTCATTCCTTCAAGGTTGGTATGTATCTGGTTCTCTTGGACCGCTTGTGTCTGGCTATCTGTGTCTAATACCGTTTGATGGCGGCTGGCCGTTGATATTTTATTTTAATGGTATGTATTTTAAAATGATTTATAATTAATTTTTTTTCATTGAATATTTATTTGGCGCTGCAGTACGCGTCAAATGTAACACTTGGTAGATGTGATACATTTATTCAGGCGTAATACTTGACTGATGTCATACTTTACATGTATAATACGTGACAGATGTAACACTTGACAGATGTAATACTTGACAGATGTAATCAGATGTAATACAGTAATTAATGTAATACTAGACAGATGTAACACTTTATAGATGTAACACTAGACAGATGTAACACTTGACAGGTGTAATACTTGACAGATGTATTCAGATGTAATACAGTAATTGATGTAATACTAGGCAGTGTAACACAAGGCAGATGTAAAACTTGACATTTGTAACACTAGAGTTATGTAATAATTGACACATTTAGCACATAACAGAAGTAACACTCGATAGTTGTGACACTTGACAGATGTAACACTACACAGAAGTAATATCTGACAGATATAACACTAGACAGATGAAATACTTAACAGATGTAATACTTACTTGACAGATGTAATAATTGACAGATGTAATAATTGACAGATGTAACACTTGACGGTTGTAACACTTGACAGATGTTATACTTGACAGATGTAACACTATACGGTTGTAACACTTGACAGATTTAACACTTGACAGATGTATTACTTTATATATGTAATACTTGACAGATGTAACACTTGACAGATGTAACACTTGACAGATGTAACACTTGACAGATGTATTACTTGATATATGTAATACTTGACAGATGTAACACTTGACAGATGTAACACTTGACAGATGTATTACTTGATATATGTAATACTTGACAGATGTAACACTTGACAGATGTAACACTTGACAGATGTATTACTTGATATATGTAATACTTGACAGATGTAATACTTGACAGATGTAACACTTGACAGATGTATTACTTGATATATGTAATACTTGACAGATGTAATACTTGACAGATGTAATACTTGAAAGATGTAACACTTGACAGATGTAACACTTGACAGATGTATTACTTGATATATGTAGCACTTGATATATGTAACACTTGACAGATGTAACACTTGACAGATGTAACACTTGACAGATGTAACACTTGACAGATGTAACACTTGACAGATGTAACACTTGACAGATGTAACACTTGACAGATGTTGAAACTTTGACTAAAACTAAGACTAAGAAATACATATATGTGATTCTTTACAAATCGTAATCAGGTGCAGTAGCAATACCGTGGATAATTGCCTGGTTGCTGCTGAGCTCCCGAAAGCCTGAAGATCATCCTTTCATTTCACAAAAGGAGAAAACATACATCACAAGTAATCGTGTTGGACTGAGTCAGGATACAGCAAACGCTCAGGTTAGGTACCTGTTTGTTGCCCCTGTTTGGGTGCCGAATCTATCCCAGCAACGTAATTCATTGGGGAATAATGAACATTCAATAAGAAGAATCCATGCATCTGGACAACCTATGATGTAGGTGGTAATGAAAAAACCATGATGATGATGGTCATGATGACAGTGATTATAGTGGTTGCGGTAATGATGATGATGATCATGATGACAGTGATTATAGTGGTTGCGGTAATGATGATGATGATCATGATGACAATGATTATAGTGGTTGCGGTAATGGTGATGATGAGGGTGATGGTGATGATGAGGGTGATGGTGATGATGAGGGTGATGGTGATGATAAGAGTGATGGGGATGATGAGGGTGATGGTGATGATGAGGGTGATGGTGATGATGAGGAAGATGATGATGATGTAGTGATTATAGTGGTTGCGGTAATGATGATGATGAGGGTGATGGTGATGAGGAGGAAGATGATGATTATATGGTGATTGTAGTGGGGGTGTTGATAATGATGATAAAGATGATAATAATGGTGATGAAAGTTATGATGATTAGGATGACGACGAAGATGATAACTATGATGATGATGAGTAGTTGTATGATGATGATTAGGGTGGTGTCGATGCTGTTGATGATGATGATGATTTTTAATGACAATGGTGGTGTTGATTGAGATGGTAAAGATGATAACGATGATTATAATAAATATAATAACAATGATGATTAGGATAATGACGATGATGATGATTATTTTTTTAAGGACAATGGTACTGTTGATGATTATGGTAAAAAGGATGATGATAATTATGAAAATATGATAATGATGATGATGATGATGATGATGAAGATGCTAATGATGATGATGATGATGAACATGTATTTATATCTCACCCGCCAGACCGCTGAAAGACCACCATATCGAAGAATTTTCAGCTCCGTTCCCGTTATCTCATTCATCGTGTCAGCGGTAGCCGTCTTTTTCAATGTCACCATATTGGTAACCTGCATGCCTGTCTACATGGCCAGCCTGCTCAAGTATTCTCTACAAGAGGTCAGTCCATCTGCCTTTTGTCTGAATGTTTGTCTCCTTCACCGATCGCCCCTTTACTTCTCCTCTTCGTATTCATCTTTTCAATTGCCCAAGACCCTCCCCCCGATGGACCATTGTTTTACGTCTTCTTCTTCTTCTTCTTCTTCTTCTTCTTCTTCTTCTTCCTTCTTTTCTTCTTCTTCTTCTTCTTCTTCTTCTACTTCTTCTTCTTCTTCTACTTCTTCTTCTTCCCTCTCTTCCTACTTGCTTTCACCGCCTGCTTCTTTGATCTTTCTGCTATTGCTCCTATTTATTGTTTTTTACTCATCATCAACCTCCTCCTTTTTTTCCTTGTCTTCCTCTTCCTGCTAACATTCTGAGATGAGAAGTCTGTCTGATGGTTATCTTAATTTTATCACACTTGGACTAGTTGATCACTTAAACATTATCACACTTGGACTAGTTGATTACTTAAACATTATCACACTTGGACTAGTTGATTACTCAAACATTTTCACACTTAGACTAGTTGATCACTTAAACATTATCACACTTGTACTAGTTGATCACAAACAATATCACACTTGGACTAGTTGATCACTGAAACATTTTCACACTTGGACTAGTTTATCACTTAAACATTATCACACTTGGACTAGTTGATCACTTAAACATTATCACACTTGGACTAGTTGATCACTCAAACATTATCACACTTGGACTAGTTGATCACTCAAACATTTTCACACTTGGACTAGTTGATCACTCAAACATTTTCACACTTGGACTAGTTGATCACTCAAACATTTTCACACTTGGACTAGTTGATCACTTAAACATTATCATACTTGGACTAGTTGATCACTTAAACATTATCACACTTGGATTAGTTGATCACTCAAACATTTTCACACTTGGACTAGTTGATCACTCAAACATTTTCACACTTGGACTAGTTGATCACTCAAAAATTATCACACTTGGATTAGTTGATCACTTAAACATTATCACACTTGGATAAGTTGATCACTTAAACATTATCACACTTGGACTATTTGATCACTTAAACATTATCACACTTGGATTAGTTGATCACTCAAACATTATCACACTTGGATTAGTTGATCACTTAAACATTATCACACTTGGACTAGTTGATCACTTAAATATTATCACTTAAACATTATCACACTTGGACTAGTTGACCACTTGAACATTATCACACTTGGACTAGATCACTTAAACAAACCGGTACAAACCTAAAGGTTAGTCTTTGCATTAAGAATGCACTTAATGCACACACACACAAATTATTTTTTGTTCAGGAGGTATGTGCGACTGATCTGAGACCCTCCTCGACTGCTCAATCTGCATGAACCTGCTGAAAGGTGGAAACACAAAAAAGGGACATTTAGCTTTGAGGTTTGAACAACGGATCAACATCATGGCACACTGATAGTAACCCAGAAGTGCTCCGTTCTTCTTCTAACTCAAGTCTGAGTCCGAAGAAGTTCAGTACAGTACACAGACTCTGTAGCACCAGCGAGGATCCTGAAATACTTTGGGTAGATTTTAAACTTCAAATTAAAAAAAAAATTAGAAAGCCATTAAAAAAAAAGGTAATAAATGAAATGTGTCACTCCATCCTACTGTTTGTTCGAATACTTCAGGTATGTATTAAAGGAAAGAATAAACTCGAGAATTCGTGAAATAGCAACACAGATGGAAAGAGTGAATCATTTGAAAAGCATAAAAGGAAAAAAAAAAGGATATTTAAAAAAAAAAAAGGTATGACATTTGTCACTCCATTTGACTGTTTTATGATTACTAAAGTTCTATATTGAAGGGAAGAATAAGCTCGACAATATTTTAAACAGCAACACTGATGGAAAGAGTGCAGGGAAAAGGTAGAACACTGACCTGATCTGTGATTAGGCTGATCTGGTACAATAGTGAATCATCAACGTCTATGCTTATCGGCACGGCGTAGGATAGAAATTATTCTATTTCCAAGGAGAGGAGAACGCTAATGGATTTTTGTTTTCAATTGAAAAAAGGGGCGGGGGCCAAACATGTTTTATAAACACTGGTCTAACCAACTGATAACTATAAGATCGTTATGACAGGTTGGTATCATCATGTGTGTGGCATGGGGGATGCGTTTTCCTCTAGCAATAGCATGGTCTGCCTTTGGTAACTGGTTGCTACGGTTCGAATCCATCACCTTAAACAGGGCCAGAAAAATCTGCTTCTTTCTTGGTAAGTGCACTTTCTTATTGACTGTTTGATTTGCTGCATATAATATAAACTAATAAACCTGACACAGACACACGCTAACTCGCACACACAAATCAGTCTATAATATGTACTAATAAATGTGACACCAACACACGCTAACTCGCACACACAAATCAGTCTATAATGTGTACTAATAAACGTGATACAGACACACGCTAACTCGCACATACAAATTAGTCTATAATATGAACTTATAAACGCGACACAGACACACACTAACTCGCACACACAAATCAGTCTATAATATGTACTAATAAATGTGACACAGACGCACGCTAACTTGCACACACAAATCAGTCTATAATATGTACTAATAAACGTGACACAGACACACGCTTACTCGCACACACAAATCAGTCTATAATATGTACTAATAAATGTGACACAGACACACGCTAACTTGCACACACAAATCAGTCTATAATATGTACTAATAAATGTGACACAGACACACGCTAACTTGCACACACAAATCAGTCTATAATATGTACTAATAAATGTGACACAGACACACGCTAACTTGCACACACAAATCAGTCTATAATATGTACTAATAAACGTGACACAGACGCACGCTAACTTGCACACACAAATCAGTCTATAATATGTACTAATAAATGTGACACCAACACACGCTAACTCGCACACACAAATCAGTCTATAATATGTACTAATAAACGTGACACAGACACACACTAACTCGCACACACAAATCAGTCTATAATATGTACTAATAAACGTGACACAGACACACGCTAACTTGCACACACAAATCAGTCTATAATATGTACTAATAAATGTGACACAGACGCACGCTAACTCGCACACACAAATCAGTCTATAATATGTACTAATAAACGCGACACAGACGCACGCTTACTCGCACACACAAATCAGTCTATAATATGTACTAATAAATGTGACACAGACACACGCTAACTTGCACACACAAATCAGTCTATAATATGTACTAATAAACGTGACACAGACGCACGCTTACTCGCACACAAAACCAAGAATAATAAGAAAATGCACATTAAAAAGGGTGCTAACAATTTGGGGAAGACACTTGTAAAAACATTTTGTTTTTTTTGGCTTAGCATCAGAAAACTGACAGTGACACTTTCTTGAAGTAAAGGTTCAATACTTCTAGAGTTCTTGATTATTGTAATGACACTCGGGAGTAACAAGTACAACAGAATGACACTTCCAGGTATAAGGTACCATCGAATTACACTTTTATTTGTCAAGGATCTTAGACGACACTTCCATATGCTAGGTCATTAGAATGACACGTTTAGGTTCCATTGAACATAAGGCGACACTTCCAATTTCCATAAACTAAATGCAAGTACATAAATATCCCCAACAAATAGTAAGTACAGAAATATTCAGAAAATACTTTCTTCTTCTCTTCCACCTTGTACCTCATCGAAGTGTCGGGGGGAGATGTAATGTTCGTTGATGAGCTCTGTCAAGAGCACTATTGAGACTGATGTTCATTTCTGTAAGGCTGTTCTTAATGCCATCACTCCATCTTTTCCGAGGTCTTCCACTCGCTTTATACCCGTTGTAACGTTTTAGTGTGGCTCGCTGTGGCAGATAGTACCAGGGCATTCTTGTTAGGTGTCCAAACCATTTCATTTGTTGTTCTTTGATGACCTGTAAGACTGGCTTTATTCCTAGCATTCGTCTGATTTCATGATTTTCCATTCTCTCTTTCCTTGAAACTCCTGCAGCTCTTCTAAGGCAATTCATCTCTGTTGTCACAATTTTACTTTTATTGGAGGATGTAAGTGTCACGTTTGGCATTGATAGCATAGTGTTGGCTAAAAATAGTTCTGATAAGATTCACTTAAATACTCCGAGGTATCTGCTTGTATGTCAACAGGGAAGATAGTTGACCCATTACTTGATTAGCTTTGGCACATCTGGAGCTAATTTATCTGTCCAGTTTTCCGTCGGATGTAAAAATTGTTCCCAAATACTTAAATTCCACTGTCTCAGGTTGTTGTTTTTTAATTTAATTTCTAAATTGTCTTTATATATTCCTATCATCATTGTCTCTGTCTTCGTAGTGTTTATTTTATTATTATATTCCTCCCCTTTGTTACTAATTTGATATAGGTAGTTCTATAGGCATTCCTATTTTTTCTGCTATAAGTACCTGGTCGTCGGCGAAAAGTAATTCTGTTATATCTTCTCCCTGATTAAAGTCTGTTTCGCTACATATGGCGTCCATGTATGTTATGAAAAGAAGCGGCGATAGTACACAGCCCTGACGCACACCAGAGTTCACTATAAAAGTTCTAGACAACCCTGCCTTTGATCTTATGCAGCATTCACTACGTGTGTACAGGCTTTTGCAAATATTAATGAGATGATTGCTGATTCCTTTTTTCCCCATACATTCCCACAACATATTCCTGTCGACTCTATCGAAGGCTTTTTTTTTGGTCTATGAATGTCAACAAACATGTCTTATCATGTTCTATTGCCCTCTCTGATAGTTGTCTCAATGTATAAATGGCATCTGTGCAACTTCTGTTTCGTCGAAAGCCCATATGTGCTTCTGAAAGTTGATACTCTATCAATGGTCTCAGCCTTTTTTCGATGATCTTAGCATACATTTTCCCAGTGTGACTGAGAAGTGATATTCCTCTGTAATTAGTACATTCCCTCTTACTTCCTTTATTTTTTCACAGCGGGACAATGACAGCAGTTTGCCAATCTGATGGTGTTTCTTGATTTTCCCATGGCACCTGAAATATTCTCTTTAACCATATTGCTCCCGTTTCTCCTGCTGCCTTGATGGCCTCAGCTGGTAGATCATCAATACCTGTCGCCTTTATTCTAGGCGCGGTTCGAATGACATATCCAATTTTACCTCATCCAATAATATACCTGGTTCTAGTTCCTCTGCTGTTATTTCCGAGTTGTTTTTATGTTCTTCCCTGCTTTTTTTCTGTTTTATTGCAGCTAAGTAATGCTTCAAAGTAATTACTCCACCTTGCTAAGATTTTAGTAGGTTCTATTAAAGGTTGGCCAACTTCATCATTTATAATTTCTGTTGGGTTGTATTCTTCATTCCTGTTTCTCATGCCTTTGATTTTTTTGTAGTAGTTTTTCACTGCTGATCTTTCTTCTTCAGCCAGCTTGCTTCCAAACTTTTCCCATGAATCTCTTTTTGCTTTTCTGATAGTTCTATTTACTTCTCTTCTAATTTTCCTGTATGTTATGTAACCTCTTCTGTTCTGCTTCTCAACCAAATGCCATAAGCTTTCTTTTTACTGCTCACAATACTTCTTATTTCTTCAGACCACCATGTTGAGAGCTTACGCCCTATGTCACCTTTCCTTTTAGTTCCACATATTTCTTGTGCTATTTTCATCGTGGTGTCTCTGAAATTCAACCATTCTGTATTTACCACAAGAGTGTTTTGTGGAAGCTGTTCATAATTTTCCTGTAATTTTTGCTGAAACGCTCGCCTGTTTTCTTCACACTCTAGTTCTTTCCATTTTATTATGTCACTTTTATTACATTTCTTTTTGGTTTGATAACTTATCTTGATTTTTCTGTCAAGGATCACCATCCTATGATCTGTATCTAAACTCAAGTTTGGTATAACTCTCGCATCTGTAACTTGATGAAAGTCTCTTTTTCTCGTCAAGATGTAATCAATCTGACTCTTGGTATCTGGATCATTCCATTTATACCATGTAAAAACTTGTGAAGCTCTATGTTGAAAAAAGGTGTTGGTAATAACAAGGTCATGTTGTGCACATATATCCAACAGTCTTTCGCCATTTTCATTTCTAATGCTGTTGTCTCCATAATTGCCTAGGTATCTTGTGAATGTTCTTCTGTCTCGTCCTGTCTTACCGTTAAAATCACCCATCACGATCAGTTTCTCGTTATTATCTATCTTACAAATTTCATCATCCAGGTTCTCAAAGAAATAATCTAAATCCTCTTCACTGTAATTTCCATTGCACGGAGCATATATCTGAAAAAACACCTCCGAAATATTTCCTACTTGTAATTTCAAACTTATAATTCTTTCCGAGATGTAGTTAACTTCAAGTATATTTTTTTGCAGTTTCGGGATCGATGACAAATCCCACTCAATGCTTTGCACGTTGCATTTCCTCTACTCCCGATTATATCAAAACGTAATTTTTATGTAGTTTCTTCATTCCTCGTCCTTTCATTCTCACTTCTGATAAGCCTAATACTTTAACATTATATTTCTCCATTAATTCGATCACTTGTTCTTCTTTATTGCCCCATCCACATATATTGATTGTCCCTACCCTGGTTTAAACCTTCTGCTGGCCTCTATTTTCCCTATTTCTAAAACATCTCCTATTTTCATCTTGGGCATTTCTTTTTGAACTGCTGAATCCTCCGCCGACTTGCCGGGCCTGTCGCGAATTCATCTTCAACTGAACAACTACACTACTCTAACACATTTAACATTCTTTCCAGGAATAAACATATCTTTTAGTCACAATTTTCGGCGAACATTGTTTACGCTGCCATCTTGGCCAGATAGAAAATACTTACAGTAGATAAAATGACCAAAAAATACATATGTAAGTACACAGATAAATATACAGCAAAGACCATAATTAGAAAGAAGATACGCACGGAAGCTTATTAACAGACAGAAAATACAGTAAAAAAAAAATGCCTTGAAATGTTTAATTGCATGCTATAGTCAAAGAAAACAGACATACCCAACACTGTAATGTAGCCATAGTCTTAACTTTTTTTTTTTTAGTGTAGTCTGCGTTATGTGTTACACTTTTTGCTAATCTTTTCACAAGGGCATGTATCCCCGCAGGGTAAAAAATATGCTTCGTTTTTCCGAAACCACAAGCATACAGCGCGTGTAAGGATCTAGGAGTTTTTAAAGTGATGTTGTCCGCTAAGATATCCATCCTTTCAGTGGTCCAGAC